TTTATGAACCTATCATTATCACAGCTAACTGTAAAGTAACTACACCAACAAATAGATAGCATTTTTTGTAAACCTAACAAATTTTGTTTCACTATTTTTGGACATCTATAAGATTTACTACAAATTATCAAAGTTCAGCTAAAAACCAAATTGAATAAACACTTATTACCTTATTGGAAAATGGAAAACCTAATTCTACCGCGTGGTCCAAAACGGGAGTGGCCTGGCCCAGTTCGGCGCAACGCGCGCGCACACGCGATTTATGGCGCAGCCCACGCGGGGGCCCGGCCCTGACCTAACAGCAAATCACTCTGAGACCCATGGCACTAATCCTATAGTCATCTACTTTGCAAATAAGTCCTTGGAACAACCTATCTTTGCAACGACGATACCCTCGAGCACCCACGCGCGCACCGGCGCGGCGGTGCTGGCACAGGGCGGTTACGCCGGCCAGACCAGCCCTTCCTCGCCCTATCTACGGAGCCGATACCTGCCTATGCGTGAACTCGAAGTACTGGGCGAAGAAAGCGTGAGTCGGGACGCCGTAGCAAGGTCGGTCCACGGTGGTGGAGCTCCTGCAATCACAGCGGTGGCGTTCCGGTGAGTTACAACAACGCCGGAGAAATTGGGGTAGCTAGTGAGCTCAAGGAACTCACCACGGACACAGACGACGCAGTGGTTCGGCCAGAGGTAGCCCAAGCCGAGCTGGCCGCGTGCGTGCGGACGATGCGATGGTGCACGACGATGGCAAGGCTGCGTCAGGGGTGGCTAGGAGGTGGTAGCGATTAGGCAAAGGTGCGTAAGGTGACGAGTAGGTGGAGGCGAAGCTGACGGTGCAACGAATTGACGCGAGCAACACTGAATTGGGAGCTTGCCGTCGACGCATACCGACACGGTCTTATTGACCCGATAGGAAGGAAACTCCAAATTGGAGCATGGCACGGCGAGGCTCACTGTAAGCTGGGGTCGGTTGGTTGGCTGACTATACGATGGAGCCGTGGACAGGGTTAATAGGACTGAGGTGGCTCCACTACGGTGAATTGAAGGCGTGGGTCCGGCGACCATGGCGTTAGAGGAACAGGGGAAGGCCAACAAGGCTTGGCTCGGCGTTGCCGTGGCAGGAGCGGCTGTCAACTCAAAGCTCAATCACGTACGGGCTACAAGGCGATGAGGAAATGGTCAACGCGCTCAGGACGGTGGGCCGCACGGCCATAAATTGCAAACCGACGACGGTGGCTCGGCTCTGCGCGCTGCAGTGGCATGACGCCGGTCAGGGGAGGCGGCAGCGCAGCGTCACGATGAGCGCGGATGTGATGACAAGGCAGGCAGGGCAAGTCCACTCGTGTGCAGTCGTGAAGGGTCAATGGCAGCAGTGGTCGTGTGACAGCGGCGGTCGGAGCACGACGTGACCGGGGGCGCAGCACGATGCTACGGCGAGCGTCCGTGGTACCGCGCGACAGCAGCCCAAACTAGCCACGCGCGCACGGTCCCGCGTAGGCGAGCACGAGGTGGCAGGGTGGCTCAGGCGGACGCGACGGCGATGGTGAGAGCGCACGCGAGCGGCCCAGCGAGGCAGACGACCGCGGCGGAGCAGAGCGGCTGGGTCCGCCGGCACCAGCGTGGTGGCATACGCGAGTGCATGCATGGGAGCGACAGCAGGTGGTAGTGGCCAGCAGCATGGCCAACGCGGTGGCACGCGTGTGGGCATGCGTGCGCTTGCGCGTCGGCGAACCAGCGCAGCGCGCCGAGCCGAGGCAACGTTGACTGCGTCCAAACGCTGAAGCCTTCCAGGAACGTGTCTTGCATGATTTTTAAAGCGCTCTAAAAATTCACCTCGGTGCTTCAATTGCTAAACCACCAATTCCATACTTAAGAAGGCATGTTAGGCTACCAAAACCCGCCATGAAACCCTACCCCTACTTAACCCAATTCGCTTACAAAAATTGCCGAAGTTAGCTTCGTCGAAGCGTTTTCTAACTTCAGAAATTCAACTCAGTTCTTATCGATTTCACGTTGAATTCGATTTCCAAGCTATCAAGTATGCTAGCTAGCGAATTCCATTCTCGACCGCAAGTATTTCACCGCCACCTACGAAGTTTGTACTACAAACTTTATCAAAGTTTCGTCTATGCGTTCTATAGCATTTTCTTTCAATAAAAATTCATTTAGAACCCTAAGTGATATGACGCGACATGAAACATAACATTCGTTTCGCATTTCCGATGAACGTTTCAAGTTACGTATATTGCTTTACACCCTATATTACACATATTTACACATAAGTATGATGCCCATGCAGTGTTTTAGCAAAAGACTGTACAGTGTAACACCGAGGGTGTTACATAAATCTGCAAAAGAGTTTCGTCCACCCGATCAGATGCCAAGACATCGATCTATACTGTGTTAGCCTCCTTTGCAGGGGCAGGAGAATCCTTCCCATGCCACTACTTGGGACTGTAGCTCCATACGAGATCCCTACAGAAGGTCCATGTGCAACCGCTCATTGAACGCATAGGGTAGAGGCTACCTGGTTGGAAAGGTAGAATGCTCAACAGAGCCGACAGACTTACTTTGGTCACCTCAGTGTTATCCTCGATGCCTACCTATCACCTCACCGTGTTCCCTCTGGCGGTATGGGCAAGAAAGCAAATTGACAAAATCAGAAGATCATTCTTGTGGAAAGGTGATGAGAATGCCAATGGAGGGCATTGCTTGGTAAATTGGCCGACAGTATGCATGCCAAAAGATTTGGGAGGGTTGGGGTGCCAAACTTGGAAAAAAATGGAAGAGCCTTGCGCCTACGTTGGTTGTGACAGGAGTGGGTTCATGACTCAAAACCTTGGGTAGGGATGACACTGCCGTGCAATGACCTAGACCGTTTGCTTTTCAATGCCTCAACATCGATAACAATTGGGAATGGTAACAAGGCACGTTTTTGGCATCACAATTGGCTAGACGGTGAAGCTCCAAGATACCTAGCGTCCCATCTTTTCCAGCTAGTGAGCCGAAAGAACAGGATGGTTTGCCGGGAACTACAAAATGGTAATTGGATCCGCTCCCTCAGGACGCGAATCACAACATCCGTTCAGATACAAGAATTCGTCGCCCTCTGGTTCAGGATTCAGGAAGTGCAGCTCACGCCCGATGTGTAGGACTCCATAGTGTGGAGATGGACGCCTGATGGAAACTACTCCACACGTTCGGCATATAACATACAGTTCCAAGGTTCACATTGCAAGTTCCAAGCTGATCTCATTTGGAAAGCAAGGGCGGAAAATAAATGCAAGATACATGCCTGGGTACTAATGCACGACAAAATCCTCACAGCGGATAACTTGCAAAAGAGAGGGTGGCTACATCATGAGCATTGCGTCTTGTGCAATGGACCTTTGGAAACAGGACTGCATCTATCTTTGCTATGCCCCTTCGCTAAAGCCGTCTGGAGCCAGGTGTTATCTTGGGAAAACTTTGATGTGCAACTGCCCCAACAAGATCCCCAGTGCCTGGCCACCTGGTGGGAGGATGTGGCGAGCAAGGTGCCAAAGCAAGAGCGCCAAACATTTAATGGAGTGCTCATTTATGTTGTGGGGAACATGTGGAAGGAAAGGAATAGGAGAATTTTCAAAAACGAGCACAAAACGTCGAAACAGGTCGCCTATCTGGCCAAGGAAGATATTGTTCAGAGGTGTAGGGCCATGTGTAGTGCAGGCTAAATCAACAAGCGCATGAGCGGTGGCTTCTGTGTTGGCTCTATGGCCGGTGTTTGAGTTGGTCCTATGACCGGATTTTTTGGCACCATTGGTGCTTGTACATAAAACTCTATTTTCTTCTTAATTAAGCGGCAGAGCTCTTGCCTTTACTTTCAAAGAAAAAAGAAACCAACCATTGGAAGGTAGATTTTGCTAAAACTGAATCCGAATCTTTGTTAAAACAGGATCATAGTTTTAAGTGGTGGCGGTGAACCAAACAGTGTGGTCAACCTCGTCACACTAGAACTACCAAGATTATCAGCTTGTTGGTTGTTGCCTAGTTGTAATCTTGTAGGTCCATGTAACAAGGAGCAACGAAATGGAGCTCACATGAGATGCCAGTGGTCCAACAGACCGCCACCAACTGAACAAGTGATATGAAGTTGTCCAGCGAGTTGCTTGGACCGCTGCACACCTTCCAGTCCGGTTGTTCAGAGATACAAGATGTTATGGGACGGATGGGAATGGTCAACTGTCAGTCACGCTATATGTCTCGATCTGAGGACCCAATTCAGATGCCCAGATTGCTTGATATCTCAGTGAAGGGATCACATAGAAATGGTCCTGACACGTTGGTCCCAATTTTCATCTGGTCATCACGAGGCATGCTTCCTAACGCCTGTTTGGTTTGGAGTAACTAAAGTTTAGTTAGTCCCTTGTAGTCACCTTTTTACCAAACAAGGTGACTAAATGAGTTTAATCATCTAGTCACCAAGTGGGTGACTAAAGGGCAAAAAAAAGACACCCATGTCCCTAATTATTGTGACAGCAGTAAAGATCCTAGGTAATTAATAGGAGTGTTTTGGTCTTTTTTAATAGTTTTAGTCCCTTTTAATCACCTAAACCAAACACCTTAGGACTACAGTTTATTCCAGGGACTAAACCAACCAAACAGGCCCTTAGACACAACTGGTCACTATGGCAGCATTGTGATATATATCCAACTATTGAACTATATCCAAAGCACCCAGTGGCTCCAACATATGGCCCAGAGAAATCCGATCAAAATCACACTCGCTTTCTCTTGCAATGCAACACTGCATGTTGAGAGCTCGTGGCCTTGTCCCTTGCCAGCCGGAGTGGATGGATAGCTGCACTTGAACTGCATGCTTCTCTTTCCCCTCCTCACCTATAAATCCATCGGCTTAGCACCAACACTTGACCAGTCCATCAGCAAGCGAAGCACTACACCACCTATTAGATACAATACAAAGAACTTGTAGCCAGGAAAGCAGGAGACGGAAACCAAACATGGTCAGCGCCAAAAGACTTGCTCAGATGGCGAAGAAGTGGCAGAGGATGGCGGCCATGGCAAGGAGGCGGATCGCATCGACGCCGGCCAAAGGAACCACCGAGGGATCATCACGGTGCAGCACTTCGCCGGTGGCCGGCAAGGGCCACTGCGTGGTGTACTCAGCAGACGGCAGGCGGTTTGAGGTCCCGCTGGCGTACCTCGACACCGCCATCTTCGGCGTGCTCCTTAGCATGTCGCATGAGGAGTTCGGGTTCGCCGGTGACGACGGCAGGATCATGGTGCCCTGTGATGCCGCCGTCATGGAGTACGTGATGTGTTTGCTTAGGAGAGATGCATCGGAAGAGGTGGTGAGGGCGTTCCTAAGCTCCATGGTGAGGCCTTGCCACTGTGGAAATGGCTTGGCGCAATCCATGGGAGTTAGCCAGCAAGTTGCTGTTTCTAGCCTCTGAGGATTAGCACTTAAGATTGTTTTATCATTCTTGAATGATACATGTAAATAGTTACATTGTGAGAGACCGGAAATGAAATTTAGTAGGGAATTTGTTGGCTCTCTCCAACCGTTTCAATATCTTGCTCAAAGCTAGAAGACAGTTTTGCATTGGGAATCTCGAACTGTTTCTAAATCACTAAAACACTTTTGAATTGGGATCCTATCCTTTCTTCTTCTTCCCCATATTTTTATTCTTCCTACACTCTGCAATCAATCAATGAAGATGCCAACACAACAAGTTAGAGAAATGACTTTTGTTCTTTGTAACTATGCTTCATTGTATTGACAAATGATTATATCGCTTTTTAGGACTTACATTACGAGGTAACAAGATTCTTCAGCAAAATCTTGCAGTATGAGATCCAAAAATCAACTTCATATGGAACAGGACACTTGGCATTACCCATTCTGGAAGAACCAAATCATGCCATTGTGTCTTTGTGCCTTAACCATTCAGTCCCTAGTAAATCATAAACTGACAAGGGAGTTAGGCTTTCTTCTTTAATGAAATGATACAAGAAAAAAAACCAAGGGAGTTATGCTTTAGAGACAGTGTATGCTGTATAAAACCAAAGTTGAAGCTGCAGAACTGTATAACTCAAGACTGCAAAATTGCAAGTGTTAAGTAAAACGTTCTGTTTACAGCCTAACCCAAGACCTAATGCAGTGAAAGTAGTGATATCCAATAAATCCAAGTAAACACTTAAGCAAAGAATACAATCTTGCATGGACATTTACATTATGGCAGTAAAAGGACATCGGCCAAGAAGGATTCATGACTATGGTTTGAAATGTCCAGCAAAAACTAACCACAGCATGTATGCATGGATGTAGTCTAGTGAAAAATGCACACATATACCATAAAATCGTTGTCACATGCTGTGACAGAAATAAAGCAGACCATCTGCAGGAACTGAGATATGGAGCTGTCGACCAACTTGCATGATTTGCAGCAATGAAAGCACTGTTCACTAACACCTAGCATGCAACTCCAAGAACAGTGTACACACCGAAAAGCAGTGAAGTGAACCCTGCAGCTGCCTGGGAAATCAAGTCTCCTGACTCTTGAACCAACCTGCCATGTCCCCGTTGAGGCATTGATGCTGAATTTTTAGTTAACTGCAATCAAATAGGTGTTAGCAAAACAGGAGGTAGGGCCTGAATCATTTAGAAACGATTGCTTCTGAGTGAACCTAACCAGCTCATCTCTGAAGCACTTCAGACAGGACACTGAAACAGATATGAGCAGCTCCATAAAAGCTGAACCCAGGATGCTTGCACTATGCCTCAGCCCAATTCAGCAGCTCGTACTGTAGTACATATCTGATTGCCCAACCACTAGCCCACTATCTTTGCCTTCAAAGTGGACTAAGTGATGGCCCAGCAACATCAGATCTGAATCTCAAGTGTCTACATTTGCAGCTAGCAATGCACGTACCCAGCTCATGGCCATGTCCCCTGACAATCAGTCTGAGAAGAGCGCAGCTGCACTCAAGACATGGACCATTTCTTCACCTATATATACAGGAGCTAGTAACCAAGTCACCATCACTACAATCAGTCACAAACTAAGCATTTCCAAGCACCAGCCTGAGAATCAAGAAGAACCAAGCAGCAACCATGATCAATCCCAAGAAGCTTGCTCAGTTGGCGAGGAAGTGGCAAAGGGTAAAAATAGCCACCAACGATGACGACAGATGCTGCGCCATTTCACCAGTTGCAGACAAGGGCCACTGCACCGTGTACACGGTGGATGGGAGCAGGTTCGAGGTCCCATCAGCGTACCTCAGCTCAATGGTCTTCAGTGAGCTGCTGAGGATGGCTGAGGAGGAGTTTGGCTTCACAGGCAATGGCAGGATCACTCTGCCTTGTGATGCAGCTGTGGTGGAGTATATGATGTGCTTGCTCCGGAGAAATGCATCAGAGGAAGTTGAGAAGGCATTCCTGAGCTCTGTAGTGATGCCTTGTCAGCATTCAAGCTATCCAATGCCACCGGTGGTGCTGCATCAGCAATTTGCAGTTTGTAGCTCCTGAAGATATGCAGGAATTTGCAGCAATTAGTGTGTTAGTACTCTAACATAGATAGAAGGAAAAGAAAGAAATTGTATATTATCTTAGAGAACTAGTGGTTGTCATTTGTTGATGCCATTTTGAAAAAATCTAACAGGAGCCTGGCAAACCAACCCCTACAGGCAAAGTTTGGTCTTATGCATTGCCGTTCTTTCTTCAAAAGTTATATTAAATCAGCAGACAAAAATGATGAGTATTATTGTGATAAAGTTTCATCACACACATGCAGAAATATATGCTTATAAAAGTATTATTGCAAAAGTTTGCCTGAAATATATGCTTCAACTAGAAAATGCAAAGGTATTGGCCTGGTTCCATATATGAAAGGTGCAGCAAAAATGTTAAGCTGCTAGTTGGAATCTTGGATTAAACGAGCGTCTGCGTTGTACTCTGTAATTCTCAAAAAAAGAAACAAATGAAGCTGTACAGAGGCTTTTGGAGACTTAGGGTCCTGCAAAGTTCTCAAGCAAATTTTACCAGCCCTGTGCCCCTGTACTTGGCAGACCAACACTGTTACACTAAGACATGGCATTGTCCCTAACAGCTACTTCAAACAATCAAACAATTAACCAAGAGCTACTAATGCATAGTGCTAGTAAATCAGCTCACATAGTAATTAGTTTGTGCACGTGCAAATGCAATTTTTGTAGTCAGTGGCCTCCGCTCAATAGTGCACACAAACAAACCAAGTACTCTGAATAAGCTTACCTGTCTGTCATCAGTGGTGGATCTAAAAATTTATATAAGATGGGCTCAAGTCATCTTCAACCTCTAGAGCCTCTCCTTCCTCTCTTCCATGTCTACAAAAATTAGTAGGGGCTAAAGGAGGGGTTCTATTGACACGGAAGTGATAGGGGGACTTGAACCCGCTCGCCCCACCGCTAGATCTGCCCCTGTGTGTGATGAAACTTTATCACAAACGGGTCTGGACACCGTCTGTGAGACATGTACAGACGGTTCCTAAACTACCTTCACAGACGAGTATAATATCCGTCTGTGATTACGGTTATTACAGACGCATTCTCACATATGCGCGAAATGCCCATCTGTGATGAATAAGGCTCGTATGTGATTAGGGATTCTGACATAGCGGGTTGTAAAGGTAGTACCCTCTTGTGGAGGAGGCGATTTTCTACATTGACATTGTTCAAGAGTTGCATGCTTTGATGACATCTTCAACTTTCGATTTTGGATGCATTAGTCTCTTTTCTTTTTCATGTCTAGTGCATGGTGTCAACTCTCCAAATGCAATGACATTGCATTCATGTTGCATTCGAGAGGGGGTGTTAAGGTATAATAGTCAGGGGTATTAGTGTAATCTCATAGTCTAGAATTTTCCTCTTGTGTCTCTCATGTAATCTATATGTAGTTGCTACTGGGCTTCAACATAATCATCTAATTCAGTCTCCCTTATCTGTAACAACCTCATCATCCAACTTTAGAATAGATCAAAAACTTATTATGTCCATGGAGACAAATATACCATTGGAATTGAACCGGTACCTTACCGTATGAATTGTGATATTAAAAAAAACAGCATTTTATTATAGTAACAAAATATAGGCACCCAAGGACTTGAACCTAGGTAATCATCCACACCCTCAACAGCCCAATTGAGCTAGCTCAGCTTCCTTATGAATTATGAATTAAAAATGCGGCTATATATGATGCACCAATCATTTAGAAAGAACAGCTGAAACCTCATCATCAAACTTTCAAATAGATCCCAAATGTACTGTATCCATGATGACCCATATGCCATTCGAATCAAACCGGTACCTAATCGTATGAATCATGATATTAAAAATGAGGCCATATGCCCATATGTTCATATATGATATGATGCACCGATCATTAGTTCAGTGATATGGACTAGACCTTCTCAAGTAATGGGTAATGCTCAAGAAAGAGAAATCAAATAAAAACACGTGCAAATTTTCATGAACGTGGATATCAACCCTATTTGGGAATTTGCACGTGGGACACTTCTGTACAGAAGATACAATTTCAAGTGGAGCATGCAAGCACAGGAAACAGTACTAAAACATGTGGCACTCCCAACCGCCTGCAATCTCAGTTAGTGGCATTGCACTGTAAGCACTATATAGCATACCAAAATAGGGTGCTCGGCCAAACCATCCAGAAGTGGTAGTGACTTGAACCTAAGTTTCCAACCTCTGAGTCACGCTGAAACAAAAGGATCCCTCAATGGAGGCATCATCTTTGTTCAGAAAACAAAGAGACAATAGAGGCATCAACACTGCCGATTTCTGAGTGCACTTACAGCTACCAGAACATGTCTGGCCCTTCGCTTTGACCCAGCCCCAAATTAACATGGGGTCCTCATGCCTCTTCCCTGCTATACACTGCTCAGTATGGCTACAACATGTAGTGTCCAATCCAACCACTCAAAGCGCACTATGCCTGACTCTGGCATGCACCAAACACTTGGCCCCATGAGAATCCGATCCAGAACATATGCACGTAGCACCTCATGGCCTTGTCCCTTGCTAATCATCCCACTTGACTGAGCAACCTGCTCTTCCTTCATCTATATATTCACGGTCAAGTGGCCTCCAAACACCATCACTTGCAGCTTCTCAAACAAAGCATTGCAAACCAAAACACAGCTCTCCAGCTTCCAGCAAGACAGGAAGAAAGAAACCATGATCAGCACAAAGAGGATTTCTCAAATGGTCGAGAAATGGCAGAGAATGGCAGTGTTGGGGAGAAAGAGGCTCTCCAGGAGGGTGGAAAGGGAAGCCGATCAATCCTGCACCTCTGTGGCGAGCAAGGATCACTGCATGATGTACAGTTCAGATGGGAGGAGGTTCGAGGTACCACTGGCATACCTTGGCACACTGGTGTTTGCAGAGCTCCTGCGGATGTCCCAGGAGGAGTTTGGCTTCATGAGCAATGGGCGGATCACGCTTCCTTGTGATGCTGCAGTCATGGAGTATGCCATGTGTCTCCTCAGGAAAGGCTCCTCAGCAGAGGTAGAGAAGGCATTCCTGAGCACCATGGCAGTGTCATGCCACTATGCAAGCTGTATTGCACCATATGTTGGAGTTAGCCATCAAGTTGTTGTTTGCAGCTCCTAAGTGAATGTAAAGTAGTTCAGTATAGGTCGTAGGAAAAGAAAACTTCTTTATGGATCCTTTTGATCCTTCAAGCAATCAAGGAAGATGCAAACTAGCATGTTAGAGCCATTATTCTTGTTCTTTGCAAATATACTTTGTTGTTGTACTGATAAATGATTAATTAAATATTAGGACTTCAATTACAAGGAAGCAAGTTCCTTCTGCAAAATCTTATGACTTAAGCTCCAAAAGTTCACTGCATATTGCACAGCGCAACAGCAGCCGTGCATTTCCATTATGCCCAAGCTAAATCATGGCATCGCCTAGGTGAAATCATAAACGGACAAGGGAGTTAAGAAACGGAAAAAAGACAGTGCATGGTGTTTATTCAAACATGAAATAGTGGAATTCAGGCAAAAGTGATAGCCTAAGCCCGAGACTTACTGATTTCAGATTTATTTTGCTTAGAAAGTTGTCCTCTAAATCCAAGTGAACACTGAACACCCTGGCAACAGAATTACAGAATACAGGCTTGCATGGCAATTTACATTACTGTAACAGTAGGATGAGAGCCGAGCAGCCTCAACAGATGCATAACCGGGATCTGAACTTTCCAGCAAACACTGGCCATGGCATGTAAGCAAAAAAAATGGCTGTAGGCCAACTGGGGCCTGCACACAGATACCACGAAATTGGATGTCACATGCAATGCTAGAAATCATGCAGACCATTGGTGGAAATTGACATATGGAACTGTCGACCAAGTTGCATGATTTGCAGCAATCAAAGCACCGCTCACCAACAGCTATCATGCAAATGCAACAGTAAGTACAGAGTACACAACCAATAGCAGTGAAGTGAACCACGCATCTGCTCAGCTCATGGCTCTTGGACCATCCTGCCATGTCCCAAGTGAGACATTGATGCTGGCTTTCAGCTAATCACCATCACGTCAGTGTTTCATTCTCTCAAAAAGGGAACAAATAGTGTGGTCCCAAATCATTCTTCAGAAATGATTGTTTTGAGCAAGCTCAACCAGTTTATCTCCAAATCACTTGATACGGGACACTGGGAAGACATGGAAGACCTCAATATAATGCTGGGCCCAGCATGCTTGCTTTGTGTTTCTGACCAATTCAGCAGCTGTACTGTAGTATATATCTGATTGCCAAACCAATGGTCCACTATCTTTGTGTTGACGGTGCATCGAGCAATTGTCTAGAAAAAAATAAATCTGAATCTTGATGCATGTAGCAAGCTCATGGTCTTGTCCCCTGCCAATTAGTTCTCAGAATATAAGTGCACCGAGGCCAGGACCACTTCTTCACCTATATATTCAGGACTAACAAGTAAAACTACTATCCCAACAGCTACAAGTCACAAAGCATTTCGAAGCACCATACCTGAGAACCAAGAAGCGACCATGATCCAACACAAGAGGTTTGACCAATTAGCGAGGAAGTGGCAATGGATCAAGGGAAATAGTTTTTTTTAACACAAAGTGGTGCATACACCAGGTTTGCAGATAAAGGCCATTGTGCCATGTACACAGCGGATGACAAGAGGTTCGAGGTCCCATTGGCGTACCTCAGTACAGTGGTCTTCAGTGAGCTGCTGCAGATATCCAAAGAGGAGTTTGGTTCACACGTGATGGCAGGATAACACTGCCTTGTGATGCAGCGGTGGTAGATTATGTGATGTGCTTGCTCAGAAGAAATGCATCAGAGGAAGTGAAGAAGGCATTCCTGACTCTGTAGCTATGCCTTGCCAACCTTCAAGCTATACAAAAGCACATGTGGCACTGCATCAGCAATTTGCAGCTTTGTAGCTCCTGAAGATATGAAGTACTTTGCAGTTTGTATGTGAAGTGCTCTGACATAAATAGACGAAAAGAAAGAATTGTACATTCTCTCAATTTGAACAAATCGGTTGGCATTATTCCTTGCTGACATCCTCTCAATAGGTCTAATAGGAGCCTGGCAAACCAACACCTACAGAAAAAGCTGCTATTATTTTTGTTTATTTTCTTTGTGGAGTCCTAAGTCGAGATATCAGTGTGAGAAGAGGTAGAGGAAGACCGAAGTTGACATGGGGGAGACAATAAAAAGATATTTAAAGGGTTGAGATATACCTAGAGATCTTTGTTTGGATAGAAGTGTTTGGAAAGCTGCTATTGACATGCCTGAACCGTGACTAGGGGCTCATGTTGGGTTTCAACTCTAGCCTACCCAACTTGCTTGGGACTAAAAGGCTTTGGCACCGTTCGGCTTGCTGAATCTTGGCTGAAACTGGCTGAAAAACACTGTTCTGATTGAATTGTTGTGAGAGAAAAACACTGTTCCGGCTGAAAAAAGCAAGCTGAATATGTTGTTGTTGTCGTCCTCGTCTTTGAGGATACATTTAACTTGTAGACAAGAATAGCAAATAGATGTACATTTAGAACTGAGAACAGTCACATATTATCATGCACATAAGTTGAGGAGAAAACACTGTGTACAGTGTATGCTTCAATAGGAAATGCAAAGGGAATAACCTGGTGGCATACATTCAGAGTGAAGGAAAATAGTTTCTTTTTAACACAAAGTGGTGCTGATATAAGTATGTTACTCTCGTAGATTAAACATGATGAAAATGAAACTCAGCTAAATCATTTAAATGATATTCACGCAGCAAAAGCTCAGGACTAGTTCAAACTCCAAACTGGTAGTCAAGTACAGCCCGTCAGCCCCTAAGCTGAAAGCCACAGCAATGAAACAACCATGGCTCACAGCTGGACGAAATATCACATTCGATGCAGAAAAACAAGCAGACCATCTCAATCAAAAATAAGTTATGGCACCGTCCAGCCAGCTGCTATGAACCAATCAAGGCACTAATGCATTAATCTTGAGGTACAAACGGTGTACACGGGAAAATACAATGGAACGGAATAGACGCCTTCCCTTCTGCTGCTTGTGCATATATACGAAGGAAAAAGTCCATATTACCCCCTCCAAGTTTGGCCTATGTCTAAATTATTGGCCCACAGGATCATCGGCTCAGGCGAATGAACCACTCGCCGGTCTTGCCGAGCACCCGCTAGTGTTGCCGAACACCCACTAGCCGTGCCGACCACGAATAAGCGTTATCCATCCCCATACACTATGGCTGGAGCTAGAAGAAGAAGGGAGAACAGAGCAAGCACGCACAATACAAGACACCAGCGTTGGCCGAAGCCCTGTCTGTGAGATGGCAAATCTGAACTCTCTTTACTGAGTTGCCGTGGTAGTTTATTTATACAACTCTATCCATCTAATCCCAGTACAGCTGCCCTGCTGCAACAGTGACTAGATAACATATAGGGCTGACTCTGCGCCGGCCACTGCACGTGCCTACAATGCTGCAGGTGAGTCGTGCGGCACCTGCACCTGCAACGGCTACAGTATCACAGCAGGGGTCTTTCAGCGTCGTCTTCCCTTGCTGTGTTCACACAAGATAGCAGTAGATTATCTAACACAAATAGCCCCCAAACTAACATTTAGTTCAATTTACTCCCTCCAACTATTTAAGTTGGTCCAACTAACACCTAAAAGAGATTTTTCTTTTTTGTTTCTCTATGTACAAATTATATTTTAGTTTGAAATTTTATGAGGTGATAGAGAACATTGTATTTTGTGTTAGAAAAATACGTTATGAATTTTTCATCATATGTTTTCTACGATATTGTATCTCTAGTGTTAATTTATTATTAAATTTTCTAAGCTATCAAAATAGTGATAAAAAGTTAAGATATATTTTACAAACATAATTAATGATGTTCGCTGTCATATCACAAAAGTTGATATTAAGACTCAACTAATACGTGGAAAAATAAAACTAACAAATTAAGAGGTAAACTAGACCAACTAAAATAGTTGGAGCTAGTAAATTAAACCAAATATAAGTTTAGAGGGTAATCTGGACATATGCCAAATTTGAGGGGAGTAATTTGGGTTTTTTCCTATATATGAACAAATCTGAGCAAATTTGGCTGATTTTCTGCCTCCTGTACGATTGGGCACCTATTGGGTTTGGAGTTCTCACCGGAGCTGACGAGCTGCCTGCCGAGCGACGCACTCGTAGGGGGCCGCCACGCTGCCATCACAACCTACAGACTCCACAGCCACCGGAATGCTCCGAGGGGGCCACGGCGGACTCAACGGCGCTCATCAGGCTTCCACCGCGCCGCCGCCGAAATCATCTCTCACGCGACAAACTTTCGAAAATGAAAAAGCTTGTTTTATATAAAAATGAACTAATACGACTTTGGATGAAGATGATTTTTATATAAAAATTATAGATCTAGATGATATCTACAACTTTCTAGTTTTAAGTTTTTTAATTTGAGAACGTTAAGTTGCTCAAAAAATAATATAAAATTTCAGCATCATAATAGCGCTTACCGCATTAGAAAAATAATATATTTTTTGTATGGAGTCAAATGAAGATATTTTTTATACCAAAGTTGTAGCTCTCAATGAGATCTACAACTTTGTAGTTTTGAGTTTTTTCATTTGAGGACATTAAGAGGCTCAAAAAATAATATAAAATTTTGGCGCCTCCTGAAAATAGAAAACCGCTTTTGAAACCAGCCGAGGACCAAATTTGTCCGGTTTTGATAGTTGGAGGGTGTTTGTTACCCGATTTCATAGTTGAAGGTTAAAAATTAGACTTCAGTGCAAGTTGGAGGTTAGAAAGTGTACTTTACCTGTCAGATTGGACGGTGGGCGATCCAAACTTTTGAGGTGCCAAAGGTCTTTTTTTTTTTTTAGGGGGCCAAAGGTCATTTTCGGTAATACAAAGATAGTCGCCGCCGGCGAATTTGCTGAGTTCCGCCGCCGACGTCGGCCGCTGTCATTGCGTCCTTCAACCGCATCTCGCGCGTCTGCAAACTTTCAGGCCATGGCTTCCTCTTCTTTCTGCTTTCTACCATATCATTCATGCAACTAGAAACGTTTCCAAATTCATGCCACGAGACGTTCAGACTTCAGAAAGGATAGAAAACGAAGAACCTTTTATACGATTTTATGTGATTCCAGAATATTACATCCGGCTAAATCAACCTAACAATATACATCATGAGCTAATCATATAGCTATACACAGATGGCTGATTGGCGTACGAGTCCCATGGATGGCACCATGCCACTGACGCTGTGGTAGCAAAAAGGTCTGAGGATGGAGATGGAGCTCAAGAACGCCCTCACAAGCTCTTCAGAGGCGTCTCCCCTAAGCAAACACATTACGTACTCCATCACTGCGGCGTCACAGAGCAACGTGATCCTGCCATTGTCGCCGGCAAACCCGAACTCCTCCTGCGACATGCTCAGGAGCTCGCTGAACACCGCTGTGCCGAGGTACGCCAGCGGGACCTCGAACCGCCTCCCGTCATCGGAGTACACGACGCAGTGGCCCTTGATGGCCACCGATGTCGATGCGACCCGCGAACCGTCGGCTTCTTTCCGCGGAGCCGTCGTGAGCCGCTTCCTTGCCAGGGCAGCCATTCTCTGCCACTTCTTTGCCATCTGAACAAGTCTCTTGGCACTGATCACGGTTGCTTCCCCTGCCTTTTTGGTTGAATGTTCAGAGATTCAGTTTGTATAAGGTGGTGTGTTCAGCTACTAGGTGTTGTGCTTAGCTTGCTGATGGGCTGATGAAGTGGCTCGGTGCTATGCTGATGGATTTATAGGTCCGGGCAAAGAAAAGAGGATTCAGATCAAGTGCAGTTACCATCTCAGACAAGCAAGAGGAAAGGCCATGAGCTCGGAACATGCAGTGTTGCAAAGAGAAGCAGTGTGGGGTTTTGATTAGATTTCTCTAGGGCCATAGGTTTGGCACTTGCTGGTGTCAATTGTAGAATTGTAGTTGTGTCTGGGTCGTTACATATCACAGTTTGATGCCAATGCAATACTGCTATGCCTCATGGGCCATGAGGACCACGTGTAAATTGGGTACAATTTGTCAGTATCAATTTTTTCGATGATTGCGTAGTGAGATACATATTATTATTGTAAGGCGTCTAAAAGCTTTTGCGCCCAAGCTTGTTTTGTTTAAACTTTAAACCCAAGCTGATCTGCTTATGTATCTAATGGCACAGTTGCGCCAGCTGAACAAACCTGACCCTCATGCTCCACGTTGGTCCCAACAAACATGGGGTCCTCGTGCCACTTCCAGTTCCAGCACCGAAAGCACACCACGAGAATTCGGCACCGGCACCGGCACCGGCACGCACCAAACACTCGGCCCCCATCAGAGTCTTATGCAAATCGTACTCGCAGACACGTCTTGCAACATCGCACTCACCGTCCTCGAGCTAGTTCGATTGAGCTATATATTCAGGTCAAGAGGCCTCAGAACACCATCACAATCTCAACTCAGAAAGAGCTCTCCAGTTTCCAGCCAAGAAAGAAAGAACCAACAATAAATATGATCAACACCAAGAGGATCGCTCAGTTGGCCAAAAAATGGCAGAAGGTGGCAGTGCTCGGGAGGAAGCGCCTCACCCGGGGGGCAGCGCCAGCAGCAAAGCAAGTCTGCATGCACAGTTCGAGGGGCACTGCACAGTGTACACGACTGACGGGGCACGGTTCGAGGTGCCATTGCCGTGCCTCGGGACGGCAGGCTTCGCCGAGCTCCTACAGATGTCCAAGGAGGAGTTTTGGCTTCACGGGCGGCGACGGCAGTATCACACTGGCTTGTGATGCCATGGTTAGGCTATCTCCAACAGATAACTTATATGGAAACCTAAACCCAAAATAGATATTGGACAGTACTATACTAGTCTTTAACAGAGTACTTATATGTGAGATCTATTTTGGGTTGCAGCAAAGTCACAACCTAAATATGACTATTTTCTCTCTTGAAGACTCATTTGCAGAAAGAGTTCTCTTTTGAGTCATATTGTTGGAGAAGACCAAAAATAAATACTAAACACTTTGTATGTAACGCTACCAAAACATGAAATAGGTCTCGTATTTTAGGTAATGTTGTTGGAGATAGTCTCATAGAGTACGCCTTGTGCGTGCTGAGGAGGGGCGCCTCTGTGGAGCTGGAGAAGGGGTTCCTGAGCACCATGACAATGTCGTGCCACTCTACAAACCACGTGGCGCCGTATGTGGCAGCTTGCTGTTAGTTTTTTTTTTTTGAACGTACTGGCAGGAGCTCTGCCTTTCAATTAAGATTGGATAAGAAAGTTTTATGTACAAGCAAAGGCAACTAGGTTAAAGTCCCCCCCCCCCTTAATCATGCGAGCTAAATGCAATCGAGCGCTCTCTTCCTTTGCTCAATGTCTTCCTTAATCCTTGTGGCTACCTGCGGCACCGTTTCACTCCTATTGTCGAAAATTCTCCTGTTTCTCTCTTTCCATATATTCCAAAAGGTGTAGATAGCTACTCCGTTAAGCCTTCGACGCTCCGCTCTTGGCGCTTTTGCCGCCACGTCTTCCCACCATGACTTGATATGGGTGGGGTTTGCATTTTGCTGTTGTTGGATTTGAGTGAAGTTTTCCCACGTGAGAATTTGATTCCAAACTGCCTTTGCAAAAGGGCAAATAAGGCATAGGTGGAGGCTTGTCTCTAAAGGTCCATTGCACATCACGCCTTTGTTGTTGGTGAGGCCACCCTCTTTTTGTAGATTTTGTGCCGTTAGAATTTTGTCTTGTACTAAGATCCATGCGAAGATCTTGCATCTGTTCTCCATGCGCTTTCCAAATCAAGTCCGTACCAAAGTGGAGGAGCGAACCTCTAAATTGTATTCACGTGGCCGATCGGGTGGAGTAATTCCCATCGTTGGTCCAACGCCCGGTGATGGTGTCTGGATGCCTGTTGTAGGTGCACATCCCATATGCGTATCCAGAGGGACACAAACTCCTCTATGTGGATGGGCGAGGTGATTTTCCTTGCAAGTTTATGCATCCAATTGTTGTTTCGGAGCTCTTGCTGCACCGTTCGGTTTGTCCTTGAGTAGGCGGAATAAGTTGGGGGCTAGGTACTTAGGAGCTTGATCATCGAGGCCAACCGTGGTGCGAACTTTGTCTTTGCACCATCCCCAAGGAAATAATGATTGAGGAGTTGAAGAGAAGGCGGTCATCCTCGATACATGGAAGCTCTGAGCCGCTCCAAGATTTGGAGTCGTCCACCCAATCGTGCCATAGCCATCAGTAAACGGAGGGCTCGCCCAAATCTTTCGAGTCAGGACCCCTAACCCTCCATGTCTTTCGGCACTGGTAACCGTTTTGCCGATTAACTAGACAATGGCCGCCATTTGCATTCTCGTCCCCTTCCACAAGAAAGATCTCCTGATTTTGTCTATCTTTTTCTTAGCCCAAGCGGCTAGAGGAAACACTTGTCGGTGGTATGTTGGCATGGAGGATAGGGCGAGGTTACAAGAGTGGCGTCCCCGCTTCTGTTTAGTAGTCTTCCTTTCCATTTGGGCGCCTTTGCCCAATCGGTCTATGAGAGGTTGCACGTGGATCCTTTGCGGTGTTCTAAAGTGTAGTTGAAGGCCTAAATATTTGCATGGGAATCCCCTCTAGTGCCGGTGAAAGGTGCCGGGACTTGGTCTAGGTCCACGTTTGCACAACCAATAGGATGTCTTGAGCTCTTTTGTAGGTTAATATGAAGTCCGGAGAATGTGCCAAAAGCTGCAGGATGATTTTGACGGCTTCCACATCATCAGTGCGTGGGGTTGACGAAAATGGCGCGTCATCTGCATACAATGAGGTTCTCCATTTTGCCGCCGTGATTGGTAATGGGGTGAGTATCTCTGTTGGGTTGCCAGGTCAAATGCTTACCGCTTGAAGCGGGTCCATGGCTAGGATGAAAAGCATGGGGAAAGCGGATCCCTTGGCGGGCGCCTGGCATGGCTAAAAGTGGCCCCCGCCTTCCGTTCGGGATGGGTGTCGAAGTGGATGTACGTGGGAGGATGGAGATCCACTCACGCCATCGTTGTCCGAAGCCCAGAGCCTGAAGAGTCTCAAGCAAGTACCCCCAATGCACCGTGTCAAAGGCTTTATGGATGTCAAGCTTCATGAACAAAACCGGAAGCTTATGCTTGTGTAGTCTTTTTACCGCGCCCTGGACGTACAGAAAATTATCATGGATGCTTCTGTGTTTTATAAAAGCGCTCTGGCAGTTCGAAACAAGGGAGTTGAGTCGAGGGGCAAGTCTGTTGGCTAACACTTTGGAGAAGATCTTTGCGATGGCATGGACTAAGCTGATGGGTCTAAAATCAGTGACTCTTGCCGCATCGGTTTTTTTTGGCAGAAGGACTATGGATGCCGAATTTAGCCACTCGAATCCCTGTGCATTCAGATTGAATAGACTGATCATTGCGGCCATAACATCTTCTTTAATGGTTTCCCGATTTGAAGAAGGCACCCGTGAAACCATCCGGACTGGCGCTTTGTCGGAAGGCATTGAATATATGGTGTTTTTATTTCTTCTTGTGAGAAAGGCACCTCCAGCTCGGAGAGGTCATGTTGAATGTAGCCAAGGGATTGCCAGTTTATGGTGGCCGCTCTCGGTACCACGGAGCCGATGTGGTTCGTAAAGTAATCTTGTATCACTTTTTCTTTGTCTTGCTGCGCCATCGCGATCCCCCCCTCCGTATGTAGACAATGTATGTAGTTCTTTCTCCGTCGTGCATTGGCTCTACTGTGGAAAAATTTAGTGTTAGCATCACCACATCGGATGTAAGTTAGCCTCGATCTCATAATTCTTGATTTTTTCAATAGCGGCGAGGCCAATGCCACGGGATTTGAGGCGGCGACATAGGTGAAGCTCCATGGCGAGAGCAACCTATGCTCTTGGGCTGCTTCTAATTGTAACAATACTTCTTTTACTATTGCGAGTTGTATCCTTGTATCCCCTATCTTGTCTTTCTTCCAACGCTTGAGCGCTTTTTTGCGAACAGCGCCATTTTGATGTGCAAACGCTTCATAGGAATAGCCGAAAGCGACCGTCCCTATTCAAGAATTATGGACAAGATCATGAAAGCCTTCCATCTTTGTCCAGTAATTCTCGAAGCGGAAAGACGTGGTCCGATGGTGGCTAAGCTCTCCCTACAGATGAAGACGGCTGGTATGGTCCGACATGAGCGATGGGAGGAGTGTAAGAAACACGCGGAAAGAGCAGATCCCATTCGGGGGTGCATAGTAGTCTGTCAATTCTAGTGAGAGTCGGGTTGTCTGTTGATTGCTCCGGTGAAGCGGCGCCCATTTAGTTTAATTTCTTTGAGCCTCAACCGATTGATCGCCGCTCTAAATGCCGCCATGAGACGCTTTGGTTTAGGTTGGAGTTGTTCTTGTCTTCCGCCTGGTAGATGAGATTGAAATCCCCCAGGATGAGCCATCTATTGTGTTCGGGCGGTGGAATGTTCTTTAATTCATGGAGGAACTGAAGTTTGGCCGCCTCTCCCTGCGGGCCGTATACCACCGTAATCTGCCATCTTGTTCCATCGGCCCTCATAGTGATCTGCGCAGTTATGGCGTTCGAGGTTAGTAGGATGTCGGAGAGATCGAAATAGT